ACTATTGGAACATGCTTTTTCTGGTGGTTCTTCTAAAGTTACAGCTCAGATGAAGGTATATTTTTAGTTCTAAGTCTCTCTTACACTCTGCTTCTCCAAACTTTAAATAGTCTCTATGATTCAGACAGCAGGGGATATTTTTGACATATTCTTTGTTATTGCACTCCTGACAGAAGTCACTTAAAAATAAAAGAACAGAGTCATTTGCTCTGTCAGAGGAATGCTTTTGGCCACAGACATGAGGAGCCAAGGGAAAGTGCTCAGTGCTGGTTTTGGGTTTTAGGTGGAATAATGGCTGAGGGGGAATAACTCCAGCTGTGCTGATCAGAGTACAGTTTCTTTGTGTTTCAGAGAACAAAATGTTTCTAATATATTTTACCTTCCAAAAATGCTTGCCATATTATTAGCATTTCCTCTTACAATAAATCTGTCTGTAGAAATGGATGACTAAAAAAATTCATTTAATGCATTTCAGATACGCAAATATCAAACTTACTACTGGATCGAAACTGTGACGCAGTTGTCCCAGTTTTAGGTACTCTTGAGTTCAAAATACCTCTAACTCTGCTTTTCTTTTCAGAAAAACAGTCGAGAGGCAATGGCAGATGAAGGGTTCTTTGATCTGCTGAGTCGATTCCAGAGCAACAGGATGGATGATCAGAGATGCTACTTCCAGGAGAAGAACAGATTCCCGGCTCCTTCAGTGGCAACATCCTCTACTCCACCTAAAACAATGAGAAAATGTAAATTTTTAGAAGTAAAATCCATATCTCACTTCAGTTCCTATCAAATACTATTTTAAAAATGCATTTGCATGCAAAACTTATTATGGAAAGTAACTTATTTCTAGGCTAACTTGTTTTCTTCCTTCTCCCCAGCCCTTTCTACATCTATAGTCTCACCCCACACAGATGAGTTTCTAGACCTACTCGCTAGCTCACAGAGCCGCCGGCTTGATGACCAGCGTGCCAGCTTTAGCAACCTACCTGGACTTCGTCTTAATCAGCACAACAGTCACTCAGTCTTGGGTCACCTCATGGCGAGTAACAACAGGGACCTAGATGATGACTTCTTTGATATATTGGTAAAATGTCAGGTGAGGGTTTTTTTACAATTATTTAGATTCTGAGGTTTGAGAGATTTGATTTACACATCCTGCTGTTCAGTTTCTTCAAGTCAGCACCTTGATTATCATGTGTTTTATGATAACAAATTGATGTGGCAAATGAGGAAGAATACACACAACTAAAAACTAGGGGTTTTTTCTTCAAGTTGCCTTTTTTGTGTTTCTTTTGGGCAAAGGATGCTTAAATCTCATTCTTTGCTATGACAAAGAACTAAACTGAAGGATTTATTTTCAGATACATGGGGAAAAATGGTATGGAAGAACCACTGTAGCAATACTTACACTCCTAACTTAGTAATTTAATTTGAGAAGTTTAACTTGGAAACAGAACTTATAAATTAAATCCTTTTAATAGCCTTAAATCTGAAACCAAAAGTTTTTAGTACTTCTTCACTTATACCATCACTTTTTTTATTATATGTATTCCTGTAACATGCAGCTTTATTGCTTGGTCTGTCTGTAGGGTTCCAGATTGGATGATCAAAGATGTGCTCCTCCCTCATCTGCAAAAGGACCAACTGTACCAGATGAGGATTTCTTCAGCCTGATTTTACGGTCACAAGCTAAGAGAATGGATGAACAAAGAGTCCATTTACCCTCAGCTATAAAGGGCCCAAGTTCTAGCTGAAGAAACAAACAGGCACGTACTGTACAGTAGCATCTTAGGTATCATTTTGTTTGCTGGAAAAACATAATGCCTTCTTACAGAAGACTACAGTTAGTAGTTTTGCCCCCTTTCTAATAATTTTTTGTATGAATAGCAGCAGCATCACATTTGTGACTAGTAGTTATTGCTGCTGCTGCTTGCTGCAGTGTCCGAGACACTGATTACTGTGTATCCTTCTTAAATGCCTCGCGTCTGTGAACATCAGTACATCTTTTCCCCTGTAAAGGTACTGTCATTGCTGAGGTGTGGATTCTACCACTGTCTCGATCCAGTGAAAGACCTAAATTTGTATATTCTTTTTAAAGAAAATTTGAGTTGGTTTTTTTTTTCTGATTTGTACCTCCCTGGAAAAAATCCTGTTTTCTTTTGTACTTTTTTAAAAAGATGAAAAATAACTGAGAAATAGCTTCAGTACTTAAGTCTGTCTTTGCAGAAACAGAGTTTGGAAGAAACAATCATTTTTTATTAATAAAAAAAATGAAATCAAACCCTAGTTTTAGTTCTGTTTAATACAAAAAGAATCTTTTCAAAACATGCTGGGGTTTTGGATAGTATTTGATTAAGTGTTTCCTGTATTACTGAGCTCAGTCAGAAGAATCTGTTAAGAAGATCCACTGAAGCAAGAGCTGCCAGTGCTGTCCTATAGATTGTGTCCAAGAAGTGCCAGGGAATCACAGGGGTGGGAAGTGCTTGGCATGATGTCAGGTAATTCCTGAAGTAATTGAATTTAAAATGCTCTAAAGAGTAAATATATCTATGCTGCTTCTTTCTTCTCCTTCTCTTAATAAGGATTTGCTTGCTGGGGTAGTTCAAGTATAGGGATTTTCAGTTACAAATCTGTGATTTTAACACTAAAGGTGGCCAGCTGTTCAGGTATTTATAAATCAAATGATGTAATTTTTTAATTGAAGTATTATACACCTAAAGAACTATCTATTGTTACTTTTAGCTTCAGAGTAAAATGTCATGGTGAGCATAGTCAAACAGACACAGACTCCAAATAATTCAAACTATGTCACAATTACTGGAAGTTTTTACAGACAGTCACTTGAAGCTGAAAATGAATCCTACTGAAAATAAGACTCATCCTGCTTTTAAGGAGAATTGCCAGAATATTTTTCCAAAAAACATGTGTTACCATCAGCCTATGGTGCTGATCTTTGGTACTTAGTGCTTATCTTCTCTTAAAAAAGATCTGATACAACATCACTCCTTTGGAGTTAGAAGATAATCATTAAGTTGTCCTAAAACTGAGCTGACCTATTTTAAAGAATATAAAAGACAGTCCTGAGACATTTGGACTGTGATTTGGCTTACGTGAGTTACACGAGTATCAGCAGCTTCCTTCAGATCATTTGACAGGTACCTGATGAGACTTATGTTTGCTAGACCAGAGTATCAGTGCTTTCCCACCACTGCGTACATCTAGTTTTTCTCAAAGCTTACTATACAAACTTGATTTCAAACAAGCAGCAATACTCCACAAACCTGTTTTCTTGGGCACTTAAAGTTGTATTATCTTACTTAACACATGGATTTCAAATTACAGAAGTAGTACATATACTTAGTCTCTCCATTTTTAAACCCCCACCTTACAGCTGTGCATGCTAATGACCAAAGAGAAGCTCCCACCAGCGTACTGATGTTCTTTTCTATGTTTGAGAACCCCAGCAGAACTAGCAAGTTTGTGATAACCAGAGATTAGAGAAAACTTACAGCAGAACTTGGGCTTCCTCAGTCTCCCTCCTGTGAGTCATGTGAGCTGCTCTTTGTCTTCTCTTCACGCTGTTCCATTGCAGAATTCCTTTCTTTGAGGTTTTTATTAGAATCACAGTTTTCTTCCACCTCTTGCTCTGCTTTGCCTGTCTGTTTCTGCTGCGCAAGTGCATGTTCTTCAGTACAGTTTTCAGCTGTGGTAGTTTCTAGTCTACAACCTTCAGACTCGGTGCGCAATTTATTCTGTAAAAATTAATAAGAAGCTATTAATCAAGCATTCCAAAGTGACAGGATCTATTGTTTCAGGTGCATCTCGGCTCAAGGGGCAGAACTCCTGCAAAGCATTCCTGGGGAATGGTACATGTAAATTTGCACCATCTAGAGCACAAGGCTGGCTTTAATTTTCTGTAGTGCACAGAACAGTCAGCAGTGCTTTTTTTCCCCTGCCTTTCTTCTGTGGGTAATCACTATTGCCCAGGCTGACAGCACTGCACCAGATACTAAGAAGGAGAAAAAAAATGACTGCTACTGCTGAAAAAAAAGCTGAACCCAGGACACATAAGTACGGATCTCTCAAATAGCTTCTGTTTATAGTAAAGAGTGCTAATTCAGTGGCTTCCTGACACAGCCATTGCAGGGTATTTTTCCAGAACAATACGTGCCCAATACACTTCTACCAAACAGTTCTATAGGGGTACAGGCACATCCTAAACTCCTCTTGTCCCCAGGATTGGGGTTAAGCCTGTTGTTTAAACATGTTCTAGCAGATGACATTGAAATCTACTGTATTTCATCCCCGCTTTAAGAGCACCAGGGCTAACATACACGAGGTTCTGGTTTGTGAGACTCTTCTACTTGCGTATCTTGCTTATTGCCTGTATGCATGACATCAGGACTTCTGCCATTTCCTGGTCTCAGAGGAGCATCTTCCCTGTCATAAGGTCCTCTAGAAACATAAAGAGGCTTCTGTGAATAACAGCCATCTCCTTTACTCCCATCATATTGCCCAAAGTCTATCTTGTCCTGTTGATGGTCAGGGGCAAGAGGGCTTCTCTTCTGAGAAGATGTTAAGGATCTTAAAGCAGACACTGATGATCCTGTACCATAGCAGAAAGCCTGGGGGAGGGAAAAAGAGGAATAAAATGTCAAACATTTGTAGCCTTCAGTTTTCACAGAGAAAGCCAAAGTCAAATATCTGCAAAACACTGAAAGAAAAGCTGCAGAAGAGACAAGCTTGTTGCAGTCTGAGGACATTCACACACCGAGTTCATCCCCGGTGCTACAGTAAAGATGCTGAAGGCTCTAACTTGATGCTGTTGTGTACAAAGCCCCAGTTACACCACTGTGTAATGATACAAAGAAGAAATAGCAACTAAGCTGCAATAAACTGTCATAAAGTCTAAGATTTTAAGTGGTTTAATGCTGTTTTATCCCACTTGGGAAGTGGAGAGATGTGGTTTTTAAATACAGACTTATCTATTCTAGAAAGATTTTGTCACAAAACAGTTAATCTTGTAGAAATGATTTTATCTGTACTATGAAATCTGTTAGTACAAATAAGAAATAATTTAATAGAAAATTATACTTAATATATAAGAAATAAAACTGAGCTTTAAAATAGAAGCTAAATGTATACAAACCAGGACACCCAGAGCCATCATAATTAGCACTGGAATCTGCAGGAAAAAAGGTATCTCCTTCATAAGTGCCTTGATGAATTCACCAATACCTTGTCCTACGTGCTTCAGAGGCTCAGTTACAAAGTTGGTGAAAGTAATTGCCAATGCCTAGAAAAACACAAACAGACAAACAGTTGTTGACACTGATGACAAACAGGAAGGTGAACAGCCCCTATGGGCTGGGCATCTACCATACCTTGGTGGGTGGAACCAGCAAAACAGGATTGACTAATAGAGTTTCGTAGTACTTCTGACAGGGATCATCCTGAAATGTCCATTTACTTCTGAGCCATTCTATAGCCAAAGCAGAGACATGTTTTTACTGGTTTTAAAACATACTTTTATGACACAGCAGTAATACAGAAAATAGCATTTCAATTATAGATGAAAGGAAATCCCTCTTCTAGATACGGTTCAAAGCTTGGGTTTATTTTTGAAAGTCTCTGATTATCATGGCAGTGCAGTTTATCCAGTCATGGGGATGCAGGAAGGAGAGGAAAGGCTGGAAAGAAAGAGACTGAGGTTCTCCCATGTCTTAGGCAAGAAAGTTTCCTTTATTAGATGGAATTAGTCCTAGAAGCCTCAGAAGAAACATAAGCATGTCTTGTCTGTGTGAACTATTATCTAGCACATCTTGACCACAGCCACTGCAATGGAAGTGGTTTTGAATGTTACTACTCATCTGCCAGGCTGCACATAGATCAAAATGTGTATTTTGCTTGCCAGATTTCAAAGGACTCTTTCAGTTGTAAGTCTTATTCCTTAAGGGAACTTTTAAGTTAAAAAACAGTAATTTATGACATCAGTGTTTCTGTAGTTTGATTTCAGTGCCATCTGAACATAAGCCACTGAAATTTGACATAAACAGAGCAATTGTAGGCAGTAAGCTATAAAGGGAAAACCGTAACAAGCACTCATTCAAAGTTCCCATCACTAACCTACCTGCTATAGCACTGGTAACAAGTAACGGCTAATAAAATACTCAGCTTTCTCTGTAAACTAACACCAGTAGAGTACATCGTTACAGATCTTACTGCTAAAGTACATTGTACAGGCCTGGCAGGTGAAGAACCAAAATCTTTTTCTTGAATTCTGCCCTTCTCTCTCCAGTAAATGGTACTGGATGGTACTGGGGGATGGGAGCTCAGAAATATTCACGGCATAAGTTATAAGGAAAGAAGTAACACCATGACATGCTCTGAGCACAGTTTTGTGATCAGCTTTCTTCCAAAGGCCTAAAAAAGAAAGTCTTGAGGAATGGAAAAATAGTAAAGCCACATAATCATAGAATGGGTTGGGTTGAAAAGGACCTTAAAGATCATCTAGTTCCAATGCCACTGCCATGGGCAGGGACACCTTCCACTGGACCAGGTTGTTGAAAGCCCCATCCAACTTGGCCTTGAACATTGCCAGGGATGGGGCAGCCACAACTTTCCTGGGCAACCTGTGCCAGTGTCTCATCACCCTCATAATGAAGAATTTCTTCCTTATATCTAATCTAAACCTACCCTCTGTCAGTTTAGATCATGTATCGCTGAAGAAAATTCAGTGTACTACCCATGAGGAGTTTGCAAGTCTTCTTGGATACTGTTACCGAGTATTTTGCAAACTTAAAATAATGAAGCAAGTATTTACCAATAAGACTTTCCCTCCAGTCGAGCTTCTCAGCACAGACGTTGTCAAACTGCCCCATTTTCGCGATTTCTGCTTGGTGCTGTGCGAAGGCCAGCTGTGGGAGAGCAGGAATTCCTTGTGAAACACGACGCGAGGTGGTGCTGGGTGCAGCACTGCGCCTCAGCTACTGACCTTTGGGGTAACTACCCAGGTCAATCTGTGTGACGGAAAGTCTCATACCTGAACAATTTAACAGAGTTTAACTCTTAAGTACTTCCTGTGAATGGATACGAACTTACCAGGATGGCTACCTCTGAGTTACTCTGCAAATAGAGGCTGAATAACCACAAGACCAAACTTCAATATTCAAAGATACAAGTTCTGGGCAAAAGTATAATCATAGAATAGTCTGGGTTGGAAAGGACCTTAAGATCATCCAGTTCCAACCCCCCTGCTGTGGGCAGGGATGCCTCACACTAGACCATGTCGCCCAAGGCTGTATCCAACCTGGCACATCTGACAGCATCTTGTTCCGTTCAAATGTTTTTGGATTAAAAGCAGAAACCACTCCATGCAATTACTAATTAAAACATCAGGACGTCCTCTTTTTAAGTAATTCCCACTAACAAATACCTGTATTCATTAGTGTTCTGCCTTACAGTTTGCAACTGATAATCAGATAGAAAAATTTAAGTCAAATCATCTGTTGAAACACTCTGACATTCTTCACCAACTCAGTCCAAGTGCTTTTTCACATTCAAGAGCCATCTCACCCTTGGACACCCCACTGCTCCTGGGCCTGACAGGCTGCAGTGACATTCTGATGGCAGAATGTGAGGACCAAGATTTTGGGGCTGGACTACAACCTTGTAACTCAGATTCCACCTCATCAAAACCACCAAACAGTAAACAACCTGATCACCGGTAATGAAGCATTTACCTCTGGTCTGTCACACATTAAATACGGTTTCAGCCAGGCAGTCTTTAGAAACACATACTCCCAACATGTATATGTAAGACTTTTCTACCAAGCTGTGTTAGACAAGTTCACACAGCAGAATCAGTTCCACCACTGCACGAGTCCTGTGCCCTCCTGTGGCAGGACGAAAGCCAGCAGCATTTCTTTTGTTCTTCAAGCCCAATACACCTGTCAATGTCCAAGATGTTCATCCCTTTACTTTGCAGTCAATTACTGCTTTTTATAAACTAACTAACTAAAGGAACTACACAAGCTTAACTCCCTCATAACATTTTAAGCCTAAAAGCCATTAAGATTTCAGAACAACTTACCTTATACAAATAAAGCCAATTCCATGCAAAACTGATGAGAAAACTTATTAATAAAACTCGTTTTAGCTGCACAAACCAGTGAATACGTGTCCAGAGCTCTGTAGCTATTACAATCACAACACAGACTAAGCACAAGAGTATCTGAAAAATAAAACAGAAAAATCATGATGTGGGTTTGGAATTTTCCAGGTTTACTGCCAGTACACAGGAAGGATCTTCCAGCTTTTGCTTTACCAGCACCATTTCATGGAAAAACTGACAGAATTTTTCCATGCTTTCATAGCAGACCAGCAGCTGTACAAGGCAGAAGAGTTTCATGGTGTTACTACCGTCATTCCTACCACAGCCTTACAGCAGAGTTGCTCATTTCTTTCTTGTGGTATTTATTTATTTCTTCCTTACAATATTTATCCCGGCACCTACCATATTTAAAAATGATAACATCGGTGTAACATGTGCCTGGTATGAACCACTAAACCACTCCTGCCAGCTGCTGCAGTTTGGGTAAGAGACAAAGTTACTGTTTGGCTAACAGCAGCAGGACTTCAGTGGAGCCCTTCAGTCCCTTCCCATCCAAGGAGCCTCATAACAAGATTATGCTACTCACAGCTTGCTTTCCTCATTGGGATTCCAGGGACCTCCCTCAGAACTAGACAGGCTACTGTCAAGATTACGTGGGCATAAAGCGTTAGCACATTCTGCATTGTAAACGTTTATGCAGAGAGCTTCAGCTTATTGGAGATCCTCAGCCCAGCATTCTAAATCCATTTTTATAGAACACAACACTGCACAAAGCCATGCTCTCCTCCTCTCCAACACTATATAAATTTTTCCCCCAAAATTCACTAAAACCTCAGACCTGAAAGACCTCAAATACACATTTGTCTCAATATAAATATATTCCAGCTCCTGCAGAGGCCAACAACTTCAGCATCTACTTGAACGAGACAAACCTGGGAAATCTACAATGTACAAGTAGCAGTTTAGGTGCTCAGAAAGCACTGGAGCCTACTAGAGCACCACGGACTCCTGGAGTCTGGTGAGTCACACAACAGGGATACAAAAGACAGGAAAAGAAAAAATTAAAAACCCCACAAAGCTACAAAAAGAAAAGACAACCACAGGAACAAAACCCCTGAATTCCTACTTCAAGTGAATACATCACCTCTGCCTTCAGCTACCATGAAACAAAGAGTGACTCACTCAAAGTACGATGGGAAGAACCACTTCACATGTGGAGTTAAGATGTCAATATTGATTGATCAGACTTGAACAAAGAAACTGGAGAAAACGTAATTTAAAACCCAACAAGACCACAAAAACCCCTTTCTTCTTCTCTTACCAGAAACATATTATAAAGCTCAATTCCAAAAGTGTCTTCAAATCTCCAGTGCCAAGCTTTATAATCATGGTGCTTAAAATTGATCAAAATATCACTAAGTGCATCATCCACAGCACCTGACTGCCACGTTTCCTCCTGCAGAAACCGGAGGATCTCCAAATACGTCTGCTTTGTAAGGATGATCTCAGCGTCATAATGGACATGGTCCACGTTTTCCTCAGGCTGAATTGAAAGCAAAGTAGAACAGTGGTTAAAAGCTGACTATATGTAACTAGAACTACAGATGGAAGCCTGTATCCCTAGGCAAAAACCTGCTTAGGTGCCCTTCGTTCTGCACCAGCACCTTTTTGAAGCAGACTGCAGGATGAAGACATGGGACAGGGAGCACAGTGTGGTTCCAAAACTTCATTCTTCTGAAGTACATAAAACACAAATTCAGTTGGTTTGTGTTCTTTTAACTCTACAGCAACACCCTAAAAAATTGAGTTATCTCACGTGTTATTAAAATTTTAGAACTAATGCTCATGAACAAGTAGTAATTACAAATGTCTGTGTGCCCCCACCATGGCTGGGTAATACAGATAGAAGCTATTAAATAACTGAATTAAGAAATCTTACACTGCTAAGTATAATGTTATTTGTTAGATACTAATTTTGCTTACTGCCAAAAAATCTATTCCTCCACCTCTGAATAGAAAAGAGTATAGAATCATAGAATGGTCTGGGTTGGAAAGGACCTTAAGATCATCTAGTTCCAACCCCCTGAGCTCATCCAGTTCCAACCCCTGCCATGGGCGTTCCAACCTTCCACTAGACCAGGTTGCTCAAGCTCCATCCAACCTGGCCTTGACCACCACCAGGGATGGGGCATTTACCACTTCTGTGGGCAAAAAGACTATTATATTCTTTGATTATATAGCCTGTCTTTATTACATTATTTCTTTATTATATTATTGTCTGTCTTTATTATATATTGTATTTTATTATTGTATTAAGACAATAATAAATAATAATGTAATAAAGACAGACTATATAATCCAAGACAATATAATAAAGAAAGTAGTAACGTGATTCTTCTGTGCCAACTCTAGTAAGTTCCTATTCCAAGATGTTTAACAAGGTAGAGTCTGAAAGAAAGGCCACCTAAAAGGTCTACAACAAACCAACAAAGATCTGGTTCTTTCCAGTTTAGCAACCATTAACGTGAACTGAACAGGGTATGACCATAGCCGCATCCCAGCAACAGATACTGAGATGCAGACTCTGAAGTCACATAGTCTTCCTCCGGATGCTTTACAGATCAAATGCAACTGTCCCTCCTGAGCAAACACTGCTAACTAACAACAACACGGATGCACACACTTGTATCCTCTCTTCCTTCGCAATTCAGTTCCCTTCATTCTCATTTAAAGTATGCCAGAATAATAAATCATTACTTGGTAACTGAGAAACACCCAAAGCAGTAATATGAATCCTGGTTAATTTTTTAATGCCAGTTCAAATACTCACTAGGCCAAGTTTTCCAGCTTCATTTAAAATCTTATTTAAGTACCGCTTAAAAATGTAAAAGCTTCTGCTTTCGCGGGATTTGGCAATCCTCTTCTCACAGTCTGCAACCTGCAAGGTGAAGACACGTTTACTCACTTCTTGCTCAAACAGGCTTGTTCACAGAAGAAAAAAAACCCCAACCAACACATGGTAACTCAGCATTAAAAGAGGCACATTAAATCAGCAACAATCCCATGATTTGTACACCACACAAAAAGTGGAAGCAGTTGCTGAAATACTACTTCCCATGGGTCTGGCCAGTACTGGAGATCTCGGATCTGCTAATGATATGGTTTGAATACCAACCTCAGCAAGACTAACGGGAAAAATAAAAATACATCTGGATTTCCTTAAGTTTTGAGTTTACATCGGGGGGGGGGGGGGGGGGGGAGGC